TAGCGCTCTACCACTTTGAGCCACAGCACCACTTCTGGTTTTCTGAGTAGTTTATTGGAGATCAGAGTCTCATGGACTTTCCTGCCTGGGCTGGCTTTGAACCTCAATCCTCAGATCTCAGCCTCCTGAGTAGCTAAGATTACAAGTGTGAACCACTGGGGCCCGGTTTGTAATTTCCATTTCTCTCAATTAAATGGGCATATTGCAATCCCTATCTTCATCTCAGTGGATCATCGACACCACAGACAATTTCTCCTGGGTTTTCTTCCATCTCTCTGCACCCTTCTTTTCATGCTCCCTTTCAGGCTCATCTTTATCCATCTTCCATGAAAGATTAGAATTATGTAAAGTTCAATTCTGATCATCTACCCCTAGGCCAGTGGTTCTCCGCTGGTCTATACAGGTTAGCTGAGAATTTACTCATGAAACGATGTTGATTCAGAATGGTACTTTAGAGAGAGGTTTCTTCTCACAATACATGTAGACATCAATTCCTACAATGAGAAAAGATGAGAATGTGTCCCTCTTCCCCCTTCTTATGCTTCTCATGGAGAGTGGAGGGACTTGTTGGATTGGTGACAGTGGAGAAAGGTCTCTCTGTTCCCTCCAGTCTCCTGTTCTTGTAGTATAGCCTTTTCATAAGCAGAGTATACTGTTTCTGCTGCTCTACACATGCTCAGGGACAGGAAGCCTTTTTTTGTATTTCTCCTTTTATACTTGTAACTGGCTGGATCAACTCAACTCAATTGAGTGGAGGGATTTGGAGAGTTGTAAAAGGCCAATTCCAAGCCAGGGCTACCAGATTCAGCAGATAATAGCTCCTCACCTCACCTGTGTCTAGTGTGTATTGCTTATCTGTCAAGATGCAGAAGCCACAGGATCCTCCTGTCCCCAACAATTCTGAAACCACTAGACTATAAGGAACTATAAATTCCCAGCTGAGCTTCACCAAGGCTGAGCTTGGTATGACCTTGGGCCTTCTCCATTGAGAAGGCTCACCCCGATGTTTGTGTTCTTGGAAGAAACCAAACTTTATGGTATCCTCAATGTGGTATTTCAAATGAAGTTTTAGGGAAACAGGCTCCATCTTGATGACTTTAAACACATATGTGACAACAGAGAAGTCTCGTTCTGCCTAGAGTCACAGGAAACCACAGGAGAGGGCGGGGTCATCGAGTTTTATGGAAACCAACATCATAATTCTGGATATCTTTCTCCTCCTCCTACATACACCTCATCCTCCTCTTCCTCCTTTCTTTTCATCCTCTTTCTCCTCCATTTCTTCCTCTTCTTTCTCCTTCTTCTTCATCTCCTCTACCTGTTCCTCTTCTGTCTCTTCCACCCACACTTCTTCTTCCCCCTCCTCCTCTTTATTTGTGCTCCTAGGGATATCTGAAAATTACCACTAGGCTACCAGGACTTCCCCCTTTCCATCCAGTTCTGACCAGAAGATTTCTGGGGTTTTCCCCTCCTCCTCCTCCATTTCCTCCATCTCATCTTCCTCTTCCTCATTCTTTACCCTCTCCTCTTCCTCCTCCTCCTCATTGGGAGGTCTACCAGCTACCACAAGGGCACCAAGACTTCCTCTTTCTATGGAGATCATATGAGGCTATTTACAGAAGGTACTCATTGTGAGACACTGACTCAAATCGCCTCAGTCTGCACTTTTTCACAACTTTTCATTAGTATACATCATCAAAAGGGGGATGGATGCACGTGGAAAGAAATGAAATCACTGAAATGCCACCCCAAACATATTAGAAACAAATGATCTCCTGATATTAGAGTTGCCTTTAGGCAGAGCAGCAGGTTGACTCTGGCTTCTTAACCCCATGTTTGAAAATGGAGACAGCCACAAAGGATATGAATTTAGATGTGGCAAGAGTCACTGTGTTCATTATAGATGATCATGTGCAAGGAAGCAAGTGGGGCATCACTAGATGTGTGAGAAAAACAGATACATTTTAAACCCAGAATAGGCACATAACCACCTTCTGAAAACAATAATCCACCTGCAACCATGGCTGCCTTATTTTCATTCTTGAGTATGCCACGAGAATTGCTGTGGGTGTCTAGTGCCAAAAAGAAAGGAAAGGGAAGGATAGACAAAAAAATGAAGAATGGGAAGGAAAGAAAACCTAAAGCTGCATGGAGTTGCCCTGCTATCATTTTATTCTCTCCACCGCCGGGGCTCGTTCCACACAACCTCATCGGGGGTTGGGACTCTTGCGCCTTTATCTCACCTTCCTGTACTTTTCAGATGCTACAAGCAATTTCCTAATGTTGTTAAGGTTCAAAGGCTCAACTTTCCATCAGAAGCAACTGGCAACCTGCCCCAACACTAACCATTGCCAGGGTCTAGCAGCCAAATCTTGGAGGACAGGTGAGTTCTCCTACCTTCTCTGACCACTCTTCAAAATACCCAGTGTCCCCTGTTGGCATCATATGAGAAAGAGGCAAAGGAAAAAAAGCCCCCATCTCACTCCAGCCCCATTTAAAACCCAACCAGCAGGACATTATTTTAAACAACTAGGTATTGAAAATAACTAGCAGAATGTGTGATCTAGTCCTCTCATTCACCTCTTTCACTTTGAATTCCAATGAAGAGGAGGAAGTAAATACAAGCTGTAAGGGAAGGGGAAAGGCCTCATCTGAAAGAGCAGTGAGTGTCATGCTCATCCTCATCACAGCTTTCTTTGAGATGGCAAAAATGCCCATGTTTTGAGATCATTGCATCCCTCATATATTCCCTATGCCCCAAGTAGATTGAAGAGACTTCTGGACTTAAGAAGGTTTAGACAGATAGAGTTGCAAATAGACCCTAGCCTGGGGCTTACAGAATTTGGCTGCACCAAAGTCATCCTTTCCCTCTTTTGCAAAAGGTACACTCTTATGTGGCCTGTTTTACTCAGCGGTGACTCAAGGTGCCACTTCACCTTGGCTTGGATCCTCAAAATTCCCAAGTCTTGCTGGGGTACATTATCTATTTAACAATAAAGAGCACCCTCCTTCGGCCCATGATTGAAAGGGCTGGTCGTGAAACCTTGATGGTGAAGTAGGAATCATGGAGAATCTGGGAATCCTTTCTGGGGACAGCATCAACTAGAAAAGTGCTGCATTCACAGCCTTTGGCAGGAACCTGGGAGGGCTTTTCCTCTAACACCATAAATACTGCAGAAAGTCATGGGCTCCAGGTCCTGGTAGGCTGAAGTGACAGCTTTTGATTTGAGCATCTTTGTTCATCTCTAGTCCTGCAAGCCTCCACAGATAGCCCTCAAGATAGTTAGAAGAGAAATCTAACCAAAAAAGCATCTGTTGGTTGTTTTCCTTAATCAAACCACTGTATTGAAGCCTATGTTCAAATATAGTTTCAGAGTTACATTATTTTTAGTTTCCCTTCTACTTAATCCATTTTAGAAGATGCTTGACTTGTCTTCAAGTCATTTGTGGGTTACATAGGACCAAAAATAATCCAGACTTTATATGTGTCAATACAAGAAAATAAATAACAACTGAGAAAGATAGTTTTAGTGCTTTCTCAGCACGGAAGAAGAAAGGAATCTATTAAGCCTAGTAAAACTAACAGAAATTGTTTCTAGCTACTTCATTACCTCTAGCATTCCAGACACTGATTTGGAGATTTGTTATGCTTAGGAATTGATTAAATATCCTTTGGAAATAATTTTTAAATGTTTTTATTGTAAAAATATGGTACAGAGGGGTTACAGTTACATGAGCAAGGTAATGAGTACATTTCCTATTGAGCATTGTTGCCTCCTCCTTTGTTTTCCTGCTACCATCCCTTCCCTCCCACCTCCACAACTATTCTCCCTCCTCCCCCCGGAAATAATTTATGTACTTACGTATTCCAAGCTAATGTTAAAGTAAAATTTTTGGCCTTTCTATGTGTAAGAAAAATACACTTTCTCCAGACCAATGCTCCAAGGTTTGAATTTATGCACACTATTTTCCAAATGGTACAGGTTACTTTGTGGGTGATTTCTTTCATAAAGCAGATTAGCCAGGTTTTAAACTTTGAACTTAATTTAGTTATTCCAAAATTTATTCCAAAATTGTCTTAAGAATGTCTCGATCTAGGATGGACATGATGGCTCAGAACTATAATCCCAACTACTTGTGAAGCAGAGTTTTTTTTGAAGCCAGTGCAGACAAAAGGTTAGTGAGACTCCCCATTTCAGTAAACCAGACATTCCCATGAGCCCAGCTATATTGGAGGCTCTAGTAGGAGGATTGCAATCTGATGTTAGCCCTGGGAAAACCCCACAAAATCCTTACCTGAAAAAATAATTTAAAGAAATGGAACACATATGGATGGCTAATCGGTAGAGTACCTACCTAGCAAATGTATGGCCCTGAGTTTAAGCCCCAGAACCGCTAAAAATGCAAAGAATATCTTGGTCATTTCTATTTTTGAATATGGAAGATAAAGTTCAAAACTGAAGCTTTCTCATTGTTAAAGTTTGTTAGCCTCTGCATTCTTCCCTCCTTTTCCTACTCACAGAAATGTGAAGAATTTAGATGTCATCCATCTAATTTTCATCCCTGAGAACTATAAATACATTCTCAATTTTCCTCTTGGGTCTACTCGAAAGACCATCTAATTCTGGTGTATCAGGACTGCAGGTATTTATAGGCATACATCATACTCAGCAATGTAGTTGAAGAAATTAGTTGAGGCTACTTTCCCCCTTGATACAGTATTTTGCAATAGAGATAAAACATTTCAGCAGACAACTTATCATCTAAGGCTTTTAAAGTAGATTATTTTAATTTTCCAAGTATCCCATGTTCCATAGATGGTACGGATGTTTATTCTCTGGAAAACCCATCAACAGTTCCATGGGAAATCAGCAAGGAAGCAGCAACTACTTGTCTAGTGCCAACATTTGATCTGAATAGGGCACTAGATGATACTGAAGCAATTTGTTGAGGACTTCCTTGAGTTTTTATTTCACTAAACTAACTCTGCTGCTGGGTGGTATAGGCAAATCTTGAGTGTTTTGTTTTTACTGTATATCTGAATATAATAGTACTTCTGAAGCCTAGAAGTGCAGTTTGTCTCAATTAGATGAATATGTATCATATAATAATAATCATCACAATTTTCAGGTGAATCAGCATCTTTGTTCTTTCTTTGTCATCTTTCCCCCCAACTGTATGGAGACACAAATGAGACTTGATACATTACATAAATGTCATCCTTTCAACTCATTTGTCATATGTTGGTGACTTTCCTCTTATTTCAAAACACTTTTTTGGCAAAACATTGGTATGAAAAATCAAGAAGCCATTCATCTCTTGGTTAGCTAGGAAGTCACATTTTACAAAGAAGAGTTAGACTGTTTCCTTAAACATCCGACTGTAGGCCACATGATTGTCTGTGGCCAGAGCATTCTTTAGACATTGCCAGAAGTAGGGATGAGCCTGTGGATTGGTGGGCCACTCGAGGACAGAACTCCCGCAGAGCCTCTTCCGGAGCTGGAGAAACTTGGACTTCTTCAGTGGCTTCTCGAGGAATATCAGAATGATCACATCTAACTTTTCATCCACGAGCCTTTGATGGGACAAGTAAAATGCAATCTTAAAGCTCTCGGTCTTTGCATACTTGTCTGTCATCACAAACACTGTCTTTTTGCTAAGCTGTATGCTCTGGGAAAGGTTTTCCAGAACTGGCTGTCCTGGTAACCAGTCTCTTTCCTCAAGACATAAATTAAATTTTTTCTCTCTTGGATCTTCCAATCTGGCCACTAGCTCATCCAAAACCCACTCTGTCACAGCGGGGTCTTTAGTGTCATATACAATAAAAGCATCATAGCAAGAATCTGGTGAGAGTAGACGCCTATATCCCTTTATCTTGGCCTTGCAGAAATGGTAACAATACCACACATCCCAGAAATAGAGGTGACTTGCTGTCATAAACACCATCAGAAAGAGGGCGAAAGATAGGGAACATGAGAAAAGAATCAGATTCGTCAGATCTAACTCACAGGTATACAGATCCAGAGACACCACACTCTGACCTTTGTGTGCCCCTGGTCCCACACAAGTCACCTCTGTGGCCAGGAAAGGAATAGTCACCTGTGTGTGATTAACCCACCAGACAAACCAGACAGCATCGCAGGTGCACAGAAAGCGATTATGATGCAAAAGTAATGTGTCCAGATTGTTGAGGACATTTTCTGGGAAGCTAGTCTTCTGGATAATCTGGATTTTATTCGAACTGAGGTCCAGGTGTCGCAACTGAAAAGCATCTTCTAGAAAATACTTTGTTAGATGCCTGATTTGATTGCTACTAAGAATTAGTGTCCGAAGATTTTTGGAACAGTTGGATAATCTGTTAGGAACGGTTGCCAATTGGTTGTGGCTGAGGTCCAAAGTTTCCAGATTCTTCAGGAACTGGAGTTTCCCCCAGTTGAAAGATTTGAACCTATTGTGAGCCAAGGACAGAGACTTTAAATTTGGAGGCATACCATTAAAAACTTCAGGAGGCATGAAACTCAGGGAATTTCTAGAAATATCTAACTCTTCCAAGTTTACCAGATTCTTGAAGAATTCTAAATATCTGCTATCACCATCTCTCCACAAAATATCCAAGTGGTTGCCTCTGAATTCAAGGGTTGTAAGGGATTCACTCTCCATGGTCCTGCTGGCGGAGGTGGAGATGTCGTTGTTGTTCATCATTAGTTTCTTCAGAAACTTCATGTTCTTGGTAAAGTTGAGCATATGAGTAATGCCTTCTGATTGAAAATAGTAGCTGTTACTACTTAAATCCAGAACCTCCAGCTTGTGAAGCTCCTCAAAGGCTGTCGAATAGAGTAAATCAAGCCGGTTGTTAGAAAAGTCTAAGTATTTCAGCTCTCTTAAAGGTCGGAATTCACTTCCATTAAGAGTTTGGCCAATGGCATTTCCTGACAAGTTGAGGCATTGGAGGAAAGAAAGATGTTGAAAATCAGAAGATCTGACAAAAAATATATTATTTTTACTTAGGTCTAAGGTCTTGTCATACTGATGGCAGCTTTCGTTAAAAGGCAAGAAAGAAGGGGTCTCTCTGTCTTTGGACCTACAACGCCTTGCCTTTTCATCATATTTGAAATAGTGCAATGTTTCCAGGACCTGGGGCCCATGGCTTTCTGCAGTATTTATGATGTTCGAGCAAAAGCCCTCTTCAACGGAATCTCCTGAAGGGGATATTTTATTCATTGAAAGGTCTATGACTTTTAATCTTTCCAATTGTTTAAATATGTTGAGATTAGCAATTTTGATGAAATTAGTGCCAAGATCAAGAATTTCAAGATTATGAAGATTATGTAATGGAGAGAGGCTGGAGTTTTTCAGTTCTTTAAAGACATATCCTTTGAGACGTAAAATTTTCAGATTTTTCAGTGATGAAAACGTACTTGGTAAATCTATAGATGCATGGTAGACCTGAAGTTCATAATTGAAGGACAGATCCAATTGGACAAGACTAGGGAGAGAACGCAAAAAGTGAGCATTCTCAATTTCTTTAGCCAAGTAGTTTTGGGAGAGATCTAGTTCCTCAAGTTTCTTCATGTTTTTAAACCATTGCTGTGGCACGTGTTGAAGAGAGTTACTGTGCAGACGCAAAACTTTTAATTCTGTCAATGGATGGAAAGCATTTCCATGGATCTGTAGGGGAGAGTTATTTTCACAGGGTTTGCAAGGAAATGGGACATTATAACAGCGAGGGCAATTTCCACTTAGGTCAAGAATTTGCAATTGGTTGAGGTTAATAAAGTCATTTTCTTGGATTTCAAAGATGATATTGTTGTAAAGATAGAGCTCTATTAAACTAGATGGCAAACCCGTGGGGACTGCTGTGACATTGTTGGCTTTCAGTGAGAGCACTTTCAAGTTTCTCAGGTTTAGGAAGGCATCGTTTTCGATGAAAAATGAAGTATTACATGGATTGCCATAATAACAGTTTTGGCCGAGGTATAACATTTCTATGTGAGGCAGTTTTGTAAGATTCTCCTTCATGATGGAAAATATATTGTTAGCTTCAAGACTTAGAAGCTTTAAGCTGAGTGGGAGATCCTGAGGTATCTCTAGAAGCTGGTTTCCATCCAGGTAAAGGGATTTTAAATAAACAAGACTACTGAAGCTTCCAGGCTTGATCTGTAGCCTCTTGGTACACACGTTGTTTTTTGGTCCCAGTCGAGCAGGTACACAGTTGCACCTGAAGTCGATCTCTATCAGCTGAGCCAGCCTCTGGAAGGAATCTGGGGAGATGGTTGGTATGTGGTTAATGGTGAGGGTGATGTTGGTGGCATTGGCAGGGATACCTTCAGGGATTTTTGTTAAGTGCTTGTCTGTGCAGTCCACGATCACGTGGGTCTTTGAATCATCCTGGCGGACATCACAGGGCAGAGTTTTGGGAAACCACCTAGCCTCAAGGAATCTGGAAATTAGGATCATGTTCACGAAGACAAGACATTGTCTTTTCAGTGTCCACATGCAAAATGCCTAAGAATAAAAGAACAAAGCAATGTTTTAAAATATACCACGAATCGGAATTCAAAAGTCCCAGTTGCTACCTCTCTTTTGCTATGTTACAAAAATAAACAATTCAGGCTAGGAAGGTGGCTCAGTGGTACAGTGCTTACCTCACATGCATGAGGCCCTGGGTTCAATTCCTCAGCACCACATAAACAGAAAACCAGAAGTGTTGCTGTGGCTCAAGTAGTAGAGTGCTCGCCTTGAGCTGAAGAGCTCAGGGACAGCGCCCAGGCCCAGAGTTCAGGCTCACGACCAACAAAATAATAAATAAAATAATTGAAGTCCTGTTCTTTACAATGTAAGCAACACCTCCACCACATCTTGCAGTTGTATTTTTCCACTCCTGAGACTTGATAATTGAGTTTCATATTTAGGTTTTAGTATCCGAGCTTTGTAGCCAAATAGATTTTAAGATTTAGAAGCAGCAATTTCTTAGTCATTGCTATACAGAATACTAAAAGGAAGAGCTATCAATTTGCTGCCAAAGTCTGAAACTGGTGTTTGTGTGTGTGTGTGTGTGTGTGTGTGTGTGTGTGTGTGTGTGTGTGTGTATGAGAGAGAGAGACAGACAGATAGACAGACAGACTGAGACAGAGAGAGACAGAGAGGTGTCAAGAAATGTTTAAAATGTAAATACACCTGGGAAGAATAACACATTAAGATTTTAGTACAACTAATATTTATTTGCTACACCTACTGTGAATCCATTACAAAGAGTGCTTCATAAAAGTCGAGCTTCCTAATGCTAGATGCAGGAACATGAAAAGAGTTCCACTGTCCCTTTATAAATTAAGACAACTCAGTGATATTGACTGGTATTCCCAAGATCACCCACTTATAATGGCATTTGATTATCACATATATTCCTGTCATTTAGCATTGCCATTTGTTAACCTAGTTTTCTTCTTGAATTACTTTTGGAAATCACACCCAGGATGATCTAGGGGTGAGTGATTTCCCTACCCATTGGGTTTATATCGTATACTTGGAGAGGAGTGAGTAGTAGTAGTGTCAGGGTACTGCCTGGGTGATCTATAACCAGAGCAGCCATATTAGAACTGATGGAGTAAGATTCCGAAGTGAAAGGAGTCAACTCCTAAAACATATGCTAATGAATTGTGTATTATGCATAAACCAAGAGTCTCAAAGGCTAAATAGGAACCTACTCAATTTTGATTTTGAGGCATCCAAGGAGACACTGGTACCCTGAAAAGAAAAGTCTTAAAAGATGAGAACCATTTTACCTTCAATTGATCTCATTGGAAGGTGGTTTAACTATGGACATGTTCTTATGCTTTATGATTTCTGTCCATATTTTCTTCCATTACATTGTTTGAGTTTTATATATAAGTACTTTATATATAAATTTATATATAGGTTTTTTGAGTGCTTATACCTGGAATAATCTAGCCTGTATTTCTATGATAAGCTTCTAGCTTACAGAATGACTTTGCCCTGCCAATTGACTGAATCAGCCAATCACTCTGATAGCCAGTATAGCAACTTCCTACTTCCCTTACATAAAATTCTCCCCATCTTGCTTTTTCTCCAATGAAAGATACATAGGAAGGATCTCAAAAGGCTTTCTTGTTTTCATCACGGGGCTTAAACTCAAAGTCTGGGCTCTGCTACTGAGCTCTTTGGTTCAAGGCTAGCTCTCTACTACTTTGAGCCACAATGTCACTTCTGGCTTTCTGGTGGTTAATTGGAGATGAGAGTCTCATGGACTTTCCTGCCCAGGCTGATTCAAACTGTGGTCCTCAGATCTCAGCCTCCTAAGCAGCTAGGATTATAGGCATGAGCCACCGGCACCCAAAGTGTTTTTTGTTTTGTTTTTGCCTATCTGTACATGCTTGAAGTATTCTGAAGTTAGCAGAACAAAAAACCATCCTTTTCTCCCTTTAACTACTCTGTCTCTTCCTCCCTACCATTGAGACCAGAGTCCAACCTGACCTCAATCGTTGTCCTCTCAACAGCCTGATCATTGCTTATATCCCTCCCCCCATGTTTTGTGCCAGTCCTAGGGCTTGAACTCAGGGCCTGGGCACTGTCCCTGAGCTTTTTTGCTCAAGGCCACTGCTCTACCACTTGAGCCACAGCTCCACTTGTGGCTTTGCCTTGGTTCATTGAAGATAAGACTCAGGGACTTTTTGCCTGGGCTGGCTTTAAATCATGATCCTCAGATCTCAGCCTCCTCAGTATCTAGGATTACAGGTACGAGCCAATGGTGGCCAGCTTGGCATTCCACTCTATTCTCCTTTTACTCCAATGCTTTTGTCCCACAAGCTTCTCAAACATTGACCAGTCATTATCCCTCTCGCAAGTCTTTCAAATGGCTTTCTTTTATTCTTCTTCTAATATGAGCTTAAACTTTTTTTTTAAATCATAGCATCTGAATTCTATCATAATTTGACCTCTCCCTGTCTTCTTATCTTGGTTTATCTGATACAGACCCTCCACTAGCTTCTCCTGTTGCTAAACCTACAAGCTGCCTGTATTGAAAGTCTCTCCTCTTGGAGTAATCCTCCTCTGCATCAGCACCTATCAGAACCCATCAGAAAGATAGTTGTCTTTAAGGTTATATTACTCAAACTGGAGCACTCAGATACCTGCAATATATGACCCCTTCTGTGTACAAGCAGCCTTACATAAATATAGTACATCTTCCTAGAGCATCAATGTTACTCAAAGATATTGAGGCAGTGTTCACAACTCAGGCGTGAGATGCTGAGTAAAGACAGGAGGGAAGGCTTTAGCAGAGAGAAAGAAGAGAAGTAGAATGAAGTCTTTGTATGAGCCCTGATCATAGATCCTAGTTGCTGGACCTGGGCTGTAATTGTGCAAGAAGACATGATTGACATATGGTGTTCACCATTAGAAGGTGCGGGTTAATACTGCTAACAGGTAAGTTATATGATAAAGGGTGATGGTGAACTCGGTGCTCTCATGAACCTGTTGGAGCAGCAGTATCCTTGCATTAACTTCCCAGATGTTCCTAGTTGAGGCACACTAGTGATGAAGGAAAATGGAGATAGCCAGGAAGTTGAGTTCTAGAAAAATAAATTCACCCCTTCATTATTGCATGCTGGTAAATGTTTAACACCTGGCTTTCCCTTTAACTAAACTCTGAACTTGCTAAGTCCCAAGTTGTGTTAATTTCCATAGTATAAATGTTGCCATTATAGCCAATTTGGAGCAGGCAGTGTGATGTTATTGAACCGAGTGCTTGGGAGAAATGCCTAGAGTTGTTCCTGTGAGTCCAATGTATGACAGTGGGTTTATCACCTGAATCAATGACTATGAAATCTTTAGCCTTTATTTATTGACATGATATAAATTGAAAAGTAAAATTAATCAAGAAACTCTATCTCCTTATTTCTCACATTTCTATTGCACACATCCACTGGGATTTATTTTTTTGTCTATTACCATCTCCTAATCCAATGAGTCATTTGCTGTCATTTGGACTCCTGCAAGTCTCCAGATGATTCTTCCTGCTTCCCTTCCTCTACAATACTCTAAAGTAACATTAGGGTGTTTACTAGATAGATGGATCAGCTAGACTATAATAACTTCTTAGTGACTTGGAATGAAATTGAAACTCTTCCTCCATTGTTTACATTGTCCATTCCCTGACTCCAGCATAACTCTAACCTTCAACCACCTTTCCCCTCTTTAACCACATCCCAGCCATCTGGCCTGTTTTCTGTTCTGCATTCAAGTCAAGCTGGTAAGCAGGGTGCATGTTCCCTCTTCCTGAAATTATCTTTCTCCTTCTCTTCACACAGCCAGGACATTACCATCTCTTGGATGTCTGTTCAAGTGACACATCTTCAAAGAGGGATACCCAGATCAGCTATCCTAATGTAATGATTATGAGGAAGATAGTAACAGTAAGGTAGTACTTATCACAGGCCAGGCATCACTTTAAATGGATACACATACATATATTTGTTATTTATCTGTCTGTCTATCTATCTATCTATCTATCTATCTATCTATCTATCTATCTATCTATCTATCTATCTATCTATCTATCTATGTGAGAAGGTACTACAGGTCCTCAATTCCTTATCCAGAACCATTGTGACTGGATTCTGAAGAAGCAATCCCTAATCAAATACAAACATTTCTTCAGTAGCACACAAGATTTTCACCTTGGTAGAATTTCTGCAAGTAGTCGTTTAGGTTAATACTCTTCAAATGCACTCATCAACTAAGTTAGGACAAAGTTATTAGATTTGATATTTTGTCATGTAAACATCTATTGTCTCTATTTTATAAGTAAGTTCACAAAGACACAAAGAGATATATGATTCTTTGGTAGTACTTAGCACAATAAAAAATTCTCTTGCTGATTTATACGCTTATTTAATATTTATTCTGAAGGAAAATATATCTCTGAGATAGCTGGGCTTTGTATCTCTTTACATAAAAAGTGCCTGGCACTTATTTAGTGTTCCCTTATGTTGCTAAATACATGAGTGAAATAAGGAATGTGAACAGTAAAATAAAAGAAAATTGTTAAAATTCTCCTTAGGAAAGCTTCGTTAGGCTCCATTCAACAGAGATCCCTTTCATCTCTATCTGATCAGGGCTTTCTTACAGAAAAGGTTTAAGAAATTTTGCTTTTAAAATACCCAATTCAAACTCACCTTCTGTAAAAGGCTTCAGGGACCAAACCAGAGAGAAGTCCTAACTCCCTCTTCCCCTCACCTACTGCACTGATCAACCATAAGCTTTTAGGATGAACTTTAGATTGAGGGTTAGGAAAACTAGCTCCTCGTCCAGCTCAGTAGTTCACCACTCATGTACCCCTCTGAGGCAGGCTCTATGTCCAAGAGAAGACCTGCTGCATGGGAACGGTACACACAGAAACAACAATATAGGGCACTCCAAGGACCCAGGCAATCCTTCTGAACCTAAGCAAAGGACCTGAAACCAGAAAGCCTTCAGTTATTCCTTAC